GATAGTTAGGATTATATCAATTTAATTTCCATCTTTTTATAAATTTAAAAATCTTGGGATCCGCTCCTGCAGGTGTGTAAAAGCCTCATCACTATCGTATATTCAGCACGCCCGAAATGTTCATGATTCTGCTAAACTAAAAAAACGTTTACACATATTTTTTCATCTCATAAAAAAAATTAGCCCATGTCCTATGCAAAAATGCCCGAATTGAAGAGGAAAATTCAGGAACTATTTTGCGTCAGCCATGTTTTGACGGCATTCTGTAAATTAAGGTCTTTCGTCTTCTACAGGAGATATTCTTGTTATTCCTGATATCAGAGTAAAATTAATAATTTTATTTTACACCAATCAGATCTCTCAAAATCAATTTTCTTCTAGACAACACTTTTTATAACTTGAGTGAGAAGGGGAAGGAGATTTTTTTACGAATACTTTCTTTCTTTGGAACAATCTTAGAGCTTATGGTTCAGTTCGGGGTGACATACGCTATTGCTTGCAATAGCAGATTTTCTAGTTTTTATTTTTATTATTATTTTATTTTATTTTAATTTTTTTTGTAAATTCTGTTTGTTTAACTTGTATATACTCAATTTAGTACACAGGTAAAATTTCAAAATTAAATAACTTACTTAACATATACAGTAACACACCTTCACACATATTTAAATTTTTTTTGGCTTGTCAAAAAAAAAATCTGAACCCCCCCCCCCCCCCCCGCGTTCTGAAATTTCTGGATCAACCGCCGAGAACAGCAGTAGGCCTGTGATTAGTGATGTTTATATGGAAATATTTACATCCACTGAATATTATTTCCTTTATTTCTTACAAAAACCATTGCCGTTAATAATTCCATAAACAACACTAAGCAAGCCACCTGCATAGATTTCTTAAGCAACGGCTGTTCCATCAATTTTGCATACATTGACATACACATCTTAATACAATATTTTAACATACATGTATTTAATTTACTTTGAATTTTTTTTTTTAAGATATAAATATAAACAATAAAATGTCTTTCTTTGTTTGTTAGTGCGGGAATTAACGTCGCAGCTATTGCAGAAAAAAATCACATAAACCGCTTACGCGGGTTATGTATTTTTTTCTGCAACAGCTGCGACATTAATTCCCACACTAACATCAAAGAATGCATTTTATTGTTTAAGTATCCTCAGGTAGTTAGATTGAAGTGTCTTCAAATCATGACCCTCGGGGCTAGAGTGGGGCCACAATGGGCGATCAAAGTTTTACAGAGGAATATATAGGAAAATTCCTTAAAAATCTTCTTCTAAAAAACAGCAAAGTAATGATTTGTCATATTTACATGGAAGCATTGCCATGCATTGTCATGCGACATGTGACAATATGCGCAGTGAGGGTAGGCACACATTGTCGCCGGCGACAATATGAACAGGACGACAAAATGTACCGTCACAATCACGCTGCATGAAATAGAATACAAGACACGTCAGTGTGATTTACACACCAATTACATTCACAAAACTACCGAAAAAAACAACAAAAAAATCTTTAAGCAACAATATCAGTAATCTGTTGGGCGACAATATGTGCAGTGAGGGTAAGGCACATAATGTCGCCAGTGACAATATGTACATGTGTACCTTTTCAGCCGGCGACAGTATGTACCGATGGACGACAATATGTGCAGTGAGCGTAGGTACATATTGTTGTCGACGACGACAATATGTACCGTCACAGGGGGATCGAAACCATCTGATTTTCCATTAAAAATTATGAAGATGGAACCTCGATAAAGTAAAATAACCGTATGTTTTTGTTATTTGCAGCTATTGAACTGAGATGTCCCAGTAAGGTGTCTTACCTCCAGGTTGGTGTTTGCCTTATCCTTCACTGAACAATCTATACAAGTGCATATAGCAAATGGTTCAACTCTGTAATTTCTTAAACACATGTTAAGCTTAATATGCAGACTGTAAATTGTGCACTATTTTAACTATCCTGTCAAGACCGTAACTACCATCGAGGCAAGTGAGGCAAATGCCTCACTAAAATTTTAGAGTTTTCTGAAAAGTGAAACAAGATGTGTTTGTGAAACACTGATGCCCCCGTATGACAACTTATAGCAAAGGTTAAACTTTCTCAAAAGCAAATCAAATATGTTGGTACCCAAAGTAAGGTCTTGTCTCAAGGAATATACCTGTGAAATATGAAAGCCCTCGCAGCCACCATTTAATAGATATAGAAAAGGTTAAAGTTTTTCAAAAGTAAGTCAAACATCAAGGTCAAGGTCAAATGGTCAAAATAAATGGTGCCTAAGGAAAGGCCTTCTCACAAGAAATATACAGGTGAAATATGAAAGCCGAAGCACCAATCGCAAAAGTTATGACCAAGGTTAAAGTTTTTCAAAAGCAGATCAAACTCCAAGGTCAAGGTCAATAGATTACAATTGTTGGTATCCAAAGGAAGGTTTTGTCACAAGGATTACATATGTGAAGTATGAAAGGCCTAGCACCAACGGTTCAAAAGTTATGGCCAAGGTTAAAGTTTTTTCAAAAATAGGTCAAACTCCAAGGTCAAAAGGTCAAATATGGTGTTACCCAAAGAAAGGTCTTGTCACAAGGAATACACATGTGAAATATGAAAGCCATAGCTCCAACCAATCAAAAGTTATGGGCAATGTTAAAGTTTTTGTGGACAAACAGATAAACAGACAGACAGACAGACAGACGGACAGGGCAAAAACTATATACCCCCGAATCTTCGATACGGGGGCATATAAAAGTTTTACTTTGAACTTTAATTCTATTGTACTTATGTGTCTCTGAACTTAATTAATGCTTTCAACAACTGTTCAACTTTTTTTCAATTTCTGTAAATCTATCATCTCACCAGGTGTTTCATTACAGTTAAGAACGCATGTAAAAATAATTCAAAACGCGAAAACTTTCAAAGATTGTCTTTAATCTACTAAAACCCAGGTTTTGGGACCCCCTCCTCCTGAGAACCCCCATCAGGACACGACCCTGAACCTGCTTTGACTTGGGTGGCCCCAGTTCCCTTGCCTCACTAAAAATATGAGTCTAGTTACCACCTTGCCTGTGCAAAATGTAACAGAAAGCTATGTCAATGAACAACCTTATAATTCATTGACTTCTTATTTGTCAACTCCTTATTGCGTTGCATTACACAAATGACCACAAGGTAAAAAAAAAAAGTTTCTTAGAAAAAAATTATTGTCTCGTTATCATATTTCATGTGGCTTTGAGTATGATTTTTTAAAATAAAATGTTTATTTATTTATTTATTTCATATTGAAAACATTATTATTGCTCTAGAAAAATAAATGATTCAGACAAAACGTATTTAAAAAAAACCCATTAGTCAAATTAGTGTAACTGTATAATATCTAAAGGATGGTGGGGCTCATGTCCAAATGACCTGCGGCTTATCTTAACAAGAACTTCCAAATCAACTAAAAACATCTGTAACTGGGGCTGTTGCAAAAATAAGATGATACGTAGGAGAGGGATCGAAACTTCCCAAGAAGATGCCACCAAATTTTCACTAATTCTTATTTATCTCCCCTTGAAAAAAGGTCTTGGCCCTTCATTTGAATAAACTTAAATCCCTTCACCCAAGGATGCTTTTTTGCAAGTTTGACTAAAATCGGTCCAGTACTTCTTGAGAAGAATTTAAAAATGCGAAACCTTTACAGACGGACAGACGCACCCAGATAAAAATGTGTAAGCTTTCAGCTCAGGTGAGCTAATCATACTTAAAAAAAACATGTCCGCTATAATTTACATACTTATAGAGAGATGGGCTAATAATAATAAAACAAACATGTCTGCTATAATGTTCATAGTTACAGAGAGATGTAACAGGGATAGACTGTCATAGACACCCCCTTAGAATTTTCAGTTTCGTTAATTGTAGATAGTTAAGTAGCATGAAGAGAAAATAACCTAAGAAAAATGAACCTCACACAAAATATAGACAAATTAAAATTTGCCTTTCACACAAGTTTTTGAAGGCCTTTATATTTAATCCTCCGCTTCCCAAAGCTTTCTTCACCTACCACCAACCCACATTTTTCATAAGTCATTGATTTTTGTTGAATTGCTGGACCCCCTCCCCATGCAATCAAAACTATTTTATCCTATTTATCCTTTATGTTTTTTTATGTGCCTAGGGGTACATGGATAAAACTAATGATTAAAATCAATTCTAAAATACTTCATGCATAAACCTCGCCATGGGGACATTCGCACTTGTGTTTGATCATGGAATCAATCGTGTTACAAATACAAATTTTGAAAGCTGTCAAAATGACATCGCCCTTTTTCAGGTGTTTGTAGACCCTGAATCTTACGAAGCCTATTTGGAATGCAGAAATATTCTGTTCTTTTGTGTTAAATGAGTTTGAAGATTAAAAAAAACTCACTCATGATCAAATCACATATATTTTTCATTTAAAATTATATAAAATATGTATATAATGTACATGTATATACGAAATATGTATATAATTCTACTAATTCATAAGCATTCAGTGCATATAAATTTCTCAAACACTGCTACTGAAAAAAAATTCAAATTAAACATATGTATTAAGCTTTCCATAATTTATATACAGACTCGCGCGCCATCTAGCGTTAATGACTGTTGGTTTTGCATCGGTGAACGTTCGTTTTGCAACGGAGTCTGTTGATTTTCCAGTCGAGTCTGGTTGATACAGTTTTAAGCTGTTTGTTTTGTAGTTCAGTATTTTTTTTTTTTACTAAATTAATTGTTAGTTTTGCATTAACGTCTTTTTTTACACTTTGAGTTTCCGCCGCCCATAATTAGGCCTTATACTAAAACTCTATACATAAACTAAAACAAGTATGAATTTTCTACAAGACTGACTTTGCTTTCAAGTATCATTATCTATTTATCTAACTGAAATTTGATACAAGTACGAAATTATTCAATGCATGGATGAGCCCAAATTGAACAACAAAGTATAGCGATGAAGTGTCGTCTCTTAACGAAGTCTGTGGTTCAACACGGGTACGGCCACAGCTGAACAAAGTCTACAGCGATATCCCCGTAGTCGCCATTGTCTCTGGTAGCTGTTATAAGAATCTACAATAAAATTTAATTAAATTATTTCAACTTGTAACAAGTAAACATACAGAAAAATATATATTAATTCAGAAGCCTGTTCCGAAATCAGAGCATACAGATTTTTTTTCATTTAACTATTTTTTTTTTAAATTTTTTAATTTTTTTTTAGATATTACTTTTGTTTGAGAATCCAGATTGAGGTCAATTCCTGGCACTTCTCTCCAAACATCCTGGTTCTCTCCAGACACTGTCCACTTGGTTTCTGCTGATGATGTCCCGTTCTGTGTTAGCACGGTCAAAGTTCCTGTCTGGGTCCCAAACATGTGGTAATAAAACGTCAGACAGTACGACTTTGCTGTATAAAGTAGAAGGATCAATCAAATAAAACCAATGGTGAAGAAACAAAGTTATGTTATATTGTGAATTTTGAATTTATCTTTGACATAGTGTAAATTTTGTATCATTTACAGACACCGGGTAAATTCAAAATTGACAAGACATTTTAAATAAATTGACCACAAAAAATCAAATTATTGGGACACTTAGATATACCTGAATATTAATACTACATGTGTGTATGCTATGCACAAACTGTTATATACTTACCCATAAATGTCCTGGTGCTGACTAAAGTCACTTCGTCGTTCCTCTTCAACGTAGCTGCATCCATGTACTTATAAAAACTACCGAACTTTGCTGTACTTGGACCCGTCGAAGCTGTGTTTGTTGTACCCTTTAAAAACCATATCAAATAAAGGATTTTCAAGTATTTGGTAAATTCAAAATAAGATATACCGGCGGTACTAATAATCCCGCCGTTTCTTTCTTTTTGTTGCCATGAGGACCCTCTTAGGGCACGGATATAATAAAATGACACTCAACGATAAATAAAGATGTAATACATGTAAATAATTATACTTTTACTTACAGAATTTCTTATCCAATTACCATCATCGCTGCTGTCCTCACCCAAAAAACAAACCGTCCCTGGGTCTGACTCAAAGTCGCAAAATTCTACAATGTATATGATTATAACTTTAATAAATATTCATTTTTTAAATATTTCACAAACAGTTAGAGTAAAAAAAATCATTGCAACCAACCATGCGCAACGCAAGCTTTCGACAAACGATCGTAATATTCTCCCTGACTGCATTCCTACAACAACAAAAAATCATTTTAAATGGGAAACGCAAGGTTGGACATTCACAATAAAACTATACATGTATATATATCGATTTAAAACCATTGTTCAAATCTATCCGGATTCTAAATTTTGAAATCGGCTCCTTACAATTTGGTATCGCTGGCACACGTCTGTAGAATTTTCCTCCGAGTAGAGGGAATCCCAGCCCCTTATCAGCCTACAGAACGTCCCACACACGTCCACAGCGTTACACGCCCAGTTCGCGAAACACTCCGCCGTACATATCGCGTACACGTAATCCAGAGAAGAAGCCGAAACATTAGAAATTATCTGTATGGAATTCGGAGCAAAAACATCCTTCGTATACCTGAAATTCTCACATTGCTCTGAATTTGGAAATGCAGAAAGAAACATAAAAATTACTTTCCACTTCATGATTAAGCGCATCCGAAAGTTCTTCAGAACTTCAGGAATTTTATTTAATATATTATGAACGGTTTGAAAAAAAAATCGAAGAGGAATTCGAACACGTTATTGGACCCCATTCCTGTGCTGGATAAATTATAAAAACGCAGATTGGTAAACATCATATGGCCTACAATATCACTGTTCAAAAATTAAAACCTACTAGATTAACGTTAATAATTTACGGGTAATAAGATCTTTGTATCGTTTAAGTTGGGTTGGTATATTTATCACGCAAGGAAATGTTTAAACCATATTTGATAGCAAAAGGGACCCGTCATGACTTGCTTTGTTAAAGTTTTGAAATAAACTCACATGACAATCGATGAATAAAAACAAAATATACCTCAATGTTTAAGATTTATTTACAGACAATTAAATGCCATCATCGACACAGTAATATCTTCCTACAATCACTGACCATCATAAAGTTCCAGTCATAGATACCAGGGGAAATCACTTCAGATATGTCGATTATGAAAAAAAAAATAGCACAAAAGTCGTAGAAATCCATCCAACAAATAATAACTCGTTTACAGTTAATACGTTTACATGATATATATCATGATAGTTATTGAAAATGTCTCTGACTTTGCCAATCGGGATGATACCAGGTAACTGACAGTAACATCATAATTCTGTGATCAAGTCTTTAAATGACTCTCCTCCGCAACTTAATTTTCTTTATACGGGTACATCATGCATCATACATCATGCATGTCTGGTCACCCTTTGAGAATACTAGTATACTTAAAAAGATGACTCTAAAGTCCTTGTAATGACCTACTTTACTTTATTCATCAATCCAACAGAAAAAAAGGTTATTAATATATGATAAAGACAAACAGACAGACAGGACAAAAACAATATACCCCCGGGATCTTTCGATCCAGGGGCATAAAAAAGGTTATTAATATATGATAAAGCTCTCAAAAAACTTAAAATTAAACTATTGACTTCGTCAATATTGTGGTTCTGTACACACACACACCCTCACAGACAAGAAGACAAGGATTCTTGGTATTCGGACTAGACTTTATAGTAACATGTACACCTTCTCAACTATTAGACTAGTGTACTACTTTTTTCACAATCTCATTAATTAATATGTTTGTATATTTATTTAGCAAATTAGTAATGACTTAAGTGTATTAGTACAGTCAAAAGTTCAAAAGAGGCTAATACTTTGAGTAGAACAACATAAAACTACATTCAGTATCTCTCTCCATGATGCTTCAGAGAATGAAAGAACATTATACTTACTCTCCATTCTAAACATTCGTCTACTTATAAGGAATTTTATGCATTTTTGTTAGATTAATTGATTATCAAAATGAACTTCATCATAATCTGAAAATGGTTAATACATACATATAAAAAGTCAACAAATACATGCAACTATTCAATTATGACACGGTCTTCATGTATTATAGTTTGCTATCAAACTAAAAATCAAGTCCTCATAATCATTTCTCCTCCCGCGAATCGCAGTAACAATTCTTAGAAGACCTTTTATTACAGACAAGCATACGGCCAAAGTTCCACAAGGTCTATGGCGATGTCACCGGTAAAGTATGAGCCATGAATGGCTTTAATTAAAATCTGTCAATATTGAAAGAGATTATTACATACATTTTTGCAAGTAAATGACATCAAACCTGAAAGAATTAAATACATGTCTCTGTATTTTTTTTTATGTAAAAAGAAAATCATTACGGAAACAGCATCTTATTTTGCTGGAAACGCTTTATATTTGAACTTTAAACATTGAAACCTTAGTTTGCGAGTCCAGATGGAGACTGACTCCGGATAATTGGTGCCAGGTGTTGCCTTGGTTACCAGACTTCGTCCAATGAGTAACGACGGCCTCGCTACCTTTCTGTGTTTGTACGGCGAGGCTTTCTATGGAATCTCCATACATATGGTAGTACAAAGTTAGGCAGTAGGTCTTATCTTAAAGATAAGAACATACATATATTGCATTCCATTCATTTCTAATCCTATATACTTTAGGGGCATTTATTATAAATCAAACGTTCCCGAAAAATATAAACAGCTTGATAAATCTATATTTTATCCCATGTTTACCCCTTTATCCCGTGGATATGACTCATTGGATAATTTTTTCATATTCCACAGTTAAGTGCAGTTGTGACGTCACAATGGTTTTGCGTTAGAGTCAAAGTAAAATAAAGTGGAGTCCTGTATAAAACAGTGTAAAACATTGGTTGTGAAGTATTAAACATGGGATAAAAAGAATCTCCCATGATTTGTAGTTGGATATGATTTTTATCCAACGAGTTGTGTGTGTTTTTTTATCCCCGAGCCTTGGCGAGGGGATAAAAACACACAACGAGTTGGATAAAAGTCATATCCAACTACAAATCATGGGAGATCCTATATATATAAAATACATGGTTACTGTCTTGAAATATAAGCGATATTTGGGCGAGGGTAAGAAAACGTGTGATAGAGGGCGAGGCTTGCCGAGCCCTCCATCACGTTTTCGACCCGAGCCCAAATATCGCTTATATTTCAAGACAGTCTCCATGTATTTTGTTTATCCTGCAACACATTTATACATGACCTCCAAAACGAACTGTTTTCAACCGATTTAGGTACATCTCTGCAGTTGAAACTAAGACGCCATGGCGTAAACATTGCAATATTCATGACGTCACAATGCTTTTAGAACGTTGGAATACATGCACGAGGCTTTATTAGGGCATTGACCGAATAAAGCTTTAGTTTATTAGGTTACCTTTATTAGGTCAATACAAGGGGTATTTGCAGGATAAATATCGATATTTGAAAAGTTTTTATTCATCAAAATTTACGTCACCCTAGTGACGCAGTGATTAGATCAAACGTCTCGTTTTGCTCTGGAATTTCGGCGTAATAACAATTAATGAGTTTGTGGGGTTCGAATCCCACCGCGAGACGTGGAGACCGTAAGTTCAGATATAAACGTAAAAACTAAGGTCCCATTTAGAAGTAGATGCTGACATCAAAAATCAGTGCAAAATCGCCGTTAAAACCGTATGCAGATCAGCCTTTAGTCAGCAATAAGTTGGTTGTTCCTATGGACCGCCAAATTAGCATATATTCAACTATTTTAAGTTTTTTTTTTTTTTTTCTTCAAATATTTGTACCCATCATCAAATAATTGAACTATCTTCAAATGAATTGAAGATAGGTACAATTGAATTAAAGATAGGTCTAAATATAACACTTATTTTTTTAATAAATTAACATAGACTTAAATTTATTAAGTAAAGTTATCTTGAATTCCAGTATACAGATAGGTTCCATTCAATTACTTATGGGTTCAATGGAATTATACCTATCTTTAAATTATTTAAGATTGGTATTATTGATTTAAAGGTAGGTTCAATTAATACATCTCCACAGAGGACTTGAAGATAGGTAAAAAATCAATTATACCTAGCTTCACTTCAATTGCACCTATCTTTTAATCAATTAATCTTATCTTTAATTCCTGCTATTTGTACCTATCTTCAATTCTGTTATACCTATCTTCAAATGAATGAAAAATTCATAATTCAGGTATAATTGAATTAAACTTATCTTCAATTCATTTGGAGATGGGTACAATTAATTTGAAGATAGGTACAAATATTTGAAGATAGGTACAAATTAAATATTTGTACCTATCTTCAAATAATTGAACCTATCTCCAAATAAATTGTAGATAGGAACAATTGAATTAAAGATAGATCTAAATTTGTTTTGAACATATTTTATTAAATAAATCAAAAGGACTGGGAAAAAGTTCTCACAACTTCATAGTTCATCTCCTTTGATTTCTACAATATGTCATGCAAAATGACTGATAAAACTGAAATTGACGAGAAATACAAGTGGAATTTGTCAGATAATAAAGCAATTTTAAACATATAAGTTTCATCAATAATTTTATGGACGGCAGCAAATATTGTGTTATGAATCTGTAAAGATTAATTAACATCACCCAGTAATCAGTAGTGACCAATGCATCAATCAAAACAGGCGATTAAAAAGATTATTTCTAGCATAAAAATAATTTTTACTAGTAGAAAGGAAGTGATACACTTCTTTAAATTTATCACATGAATATAAAAGAACTATTGATCATATTACGTTTATAAAGATCATAGTTACATGCAAGTATACAGTCATGTCTTAGTTTATTAAGGAGGCTGGGGGGTCAACAAATTAACCACAAATTAACCACCAGATTTAACTTAATTTTTTAGATATGATATCTTAAGCTGTCAACTATCATTTGGCAAAGAAAAATTTCAAAAATTTTAGTTTTAAAATTTGATCATTTTTGTATATCTTCATATGGAGCTCTTCTTCTAAAGGAGATCAATATAATCTAAAAATGGCCACAACCCCCCAGCCTCTTTAAGGATTATGTTTGTATAGCGTTTTCCAAATGAAAAGTACGTTGGGAAATTTCTGACTTTTGTAATCCAAGGTGTTACGAAAAAAATGAGTGAGATGGCATCTTTCGTCTCTACATTTAATAGATTCCATTGTTTCACAGCGTTTGGTATGAGATGATGTGATTTAAGTAGTCCTAATTGGTATTTTGGGACAGTGAATTATTACAAGTATTATATCTGTTATACATTTTCAGGTTTGTTTGGGACATTATTATTCAAATTTTCAGGCACGCCTCATTGTGAATTTTGAACATGGTAGTCATTTTTGCGATATAGATACTGTATTTTAACGTTTCCCAACCGATGTCTGAATAAAATCTTTCTTTAGACATAAAAATAGGAAGACTTGTGACAATTCTAGCTGCAGATAATGGTACTTTTTCAAGCTTGTCAGCATTCTGATTAGAGCAGCCATCCTACACATATTGAAGCTTAATTTTATTCAAGCGAAGGTCTAATAAATGTAGTATACAATTTTGAAAGGTTATTCCTACCAATTTTGAATTCCATTTTTTTTTTTCAATAAGCATTGTTTACAATACCATCAGTGTATTCAGACCAGCTTAAGTTTTGCGACAATATTAGACCCAAGTGATGATGGACTTGAACATACTCTAATCTGTCACACTTGACAAATAGTTTAGGCGTAACAAAAATATTTTTTCTTTTTGAAAAAAGACATTTGTTTTTGGATGATGTAATTTTAGAGCCAGTCTTTGGACCACAATTCAAAAATATGTAAACCGAGATTCAGCTTATATTCAATATATAACACATTGTATTAGGATTGTCGGAGCAAATTGTCATCAGCAAACAATCGACAAATTGATAACATATTTATAGTGACGTAATTTACATATATCAGAAAAGACAAGACTATGAGATACACCTGCACATGCGTTTTGTTTAAATGATAACATTTCCTTATGCATGTACATTACGTTTTGTGTCTTATGACTTAGATAATTAGAAAACCATTGGTGAAGATTTCCAGATATACCATAATTTTGTTATTTAAAAATGAGAGATTTGTGTCATACTCTGTCAAAAGCTTTAGAAAGATCACAGAAAACCATGCAACAGGATTTACCTTCATCAATATTTTATTTTGCTTGAATCCTCAACATATGTTTCTATATTGTCTTAATAATTTGATATCGCATGTTTTTTCATATTATTAACCGAATTTCGGATCTTTCTGTATGCAGACCAATCAGATTCATTTTAGCTTTAAGTGAAATATATATGGAGATGACGAACAGTATTCAAGCTCAAAAGTCCATTCATGCAATAAAAATAAGGTGTAGAGCAAATGCGGACCTCTGAAACATCAGGGGTGGGATCAGGTGCTATGGAAGAGTGAGCATCCCCTGTCGACCGGTCAAACCCGCCGTATGCTCCTTGTCTTGATCGGGAAATAACGAAAACATTCGTCGACAATTCAGTGTATAAATAATGGCCTCACAATTAGTATGAAAAACGTCAGTCAGCATTTGACATTGATAGATTGTATTTGCTGACAAAGTCATTGTATCGACCATAGAACTTATGATGACTTTAAAGAAGACTGTTGATATTCTTGGTTCATCAACTTGTTTGTCAATAACTTATCTCGTTTTAGAAATTTAAGTGCTTTATTACGGAGTCGGTTTCTGATTCTGATTGTTTTTCGAAATGCGTAAATGAGAAAAGCCATGGTTTATCGCGATGACGAGTAGGGATCGTTTGCTCTGGTATACATTCACGAATGCAGGAAAAAAATTCAGATGTAAAATATTCCGTTGCCAAATCTATGGTATTAGCTTTGTTAATGCATTTAATCCAATCGCTGTTTTCAGTCAAAGAATTAAGAACCCTCTCGTCACTGAAAATTAAGAATTCTGATTCTGTGGTATTTTTTGCTGTTAGAGTAATAAGTGCCCTTATATCTACACTCAAATACATTGAATTCTACAGTATATTTCTCAATTTGTGATAAAGCATTCTTAACATTTTAAAGGGTCAAAATTTCATTTGCAAATATTTTATCCACTAAAGTAAATGAGAGTGATTTCTGTTCCTTGATACTTTGTTGTCTTTCTACATTTTTCCTGGGGATAAATGCCACGTACCATATATTGAAAATTATAAAGATAAGCCCAAACTTCATACCTATATACAATATAATTTTCTCAATGTCCAAACAAGAGGCCTAAGGGCCTTAACGGTCACCTGAGTATAATACAACAGTTTAGAGGATCCATAGAGTACATGTATAAAACAAACTGAAAGATGAAGCTTTGTTGCCAAAAAGAAAGAGATGATCAGGATCAACGAAATAATTAGTCTTGTATTCAGCAACAACTCGTAAATTAAGTTCTAATCAACCCCATTTTATCACTATCAGCATGCAGTCTATCAACAAACTATTAGTGCTCCTGTACTATTTTTAACTCCATATTATGACCTCTCACATTGGCCTCTCATAGTCTTTGAACAACATTTAATAAAATGAATTATTTT